CATGAAAAGAGTGCACATAGCTTGGGATTTTCTTTCAGGTCTTTTCTTAAAAATAGGTTGAATTCAAACTGAAGATAACAGTATTTTTGAAACTGCTCAGAATTATTTTTCCCCTCTCTGTTTTTTGCACCCAGTTATCGATGGAATTTACAAACAGTTGATTCATTTAACACAGTAAACTATGGCAAAGAATGTGAAATTTAAGTTTGGGTTGTTTTTTTTTTTTTTACCCTGCTGGTTTTCTGGGCAGCATTTTCTTTAAATGTAATATTATTATGCAGACAGAAGAGGGCAAACAGGAGCATAACTAGTAATAACTATTCTCTAAACTATTTCCCTTTTTAATTTAAATTTTAATTTTAAATATTCCAAGGCCAGCACTGTGGTTTTACACGCAAATCATTATCTTTTGAATGACCTGAATAGTTAATTTCATACCTTGATATTGTTTTTTATTTATTCTTGAAATTTGAATGCTCAGTGTATCTAAGAAAAAAATCAAAACTAACAAAAAACCCCAGTATTTGGCTCTGAGGGTGGGGAGGCCCTGGCACAGGTTGCCCAGAGAAGCTGTGGCTGCCAATAGATCCTTGGAAGTGTCCAAGGCCGGGCTGGACGGGGCTTGGAGCAACCTGGGATAATGGAAGGTGTCCCTGCCCATGGCAGGGGGTTGGGACAAGATGGGGTTTTAGTTCCCCTCCAACCCAAATCATTCTGGAATTTTGTAATTCCGAGATCTGCCTCATGTTATATCCACCTTAACAAGGGAGGGATGTCAGAGATCACCCCAGGGAGGGTTAGAGGGAAGGCACTAGACCCAGGAGACTCAAGGACCCTCCCTGGAGGAATCCCAACACACTCCAGACCGGTGATGGTTTCTTACCTCCTCTCCACTGTACTGCTTTAGGCAGTGCAGGAGGCGACACGTGTTCGCCAGCCAAAATGACGTCATCTCAAAGTCACCACTGTGCTCCTGGAGAAACAAAATTAAAACGTGTGAGATCCCCCCTCCCCTTCCTTGGGGGATGTTGGCGCAGCAAGACAAAGCGATTTTTGAGTTTCTCCACACAGAATCGGGCATCTTGCCCTCTGCAGGTGGGCACTATTAGCCACTTCCTCCATAGAAACTCTTTTTTAAAAAAAAAAAATCCATAATTGTGAACAGTTTTATTGCTTAGATCGTAATTCGCCTTTGTTCTTCTAGAAAGCAAAGCTCCAAGAGTGATTTGGTCTGCAAATCACTGTAAGAGAGCTGAATATCACACACCTGGACATGGTTATTACCATTTTACAGCCCCTCAACCCCAAGACAAGAGCAAAGGGACACCTGCCTTCAGCACTTTCTTAATGCCGTTGATGGTGGAGGTAAGCAAGGAGTGCACCTTCTGGTCGTCGTTGATGTAATCTGCATGTCTGATGCACATGTAGAGGATGTAGGCAGGAAGGCAGGGAACAGTAGCAGACACTGCCTGGGGCTTGAGCTCTAGAAGATTTGACAATTAAAAAAAAAATAAAAAAAAAAATCGCAAACCAAAAAAAAAAAACCCCAGACTTAAAAATTTTACCAGCTGACAGGTGAAGCAGAGAACAACAGACCTGGAGACGTACCCAGGCAAACCCTTCTTTCCCCAGCCCTGGGGAAAACGATATTTTGGCTCTGCAACTTGCACCCCTCTCTGCAGCATGGACACAGAACCAGAGGTCCAGCTGCAGGACAGATGGACCTGCTGAGGAGCCACAGCACTGGGGCTTGGGAGGGCAGCTCTGTCTGCACTGAGGTGTGTGACAATATCCCATTACACAGGTAGGGTTAGAGCTTCTTCACAGTGTAAATAAAAGCCTACCCCAGCAGCACACAAAGCACCTTAGAAAAGGCTCCTGAAGCTTCTACGTGTACCTCCCACGGTTTATAGCCACCCTCTTCTGAACTGATGACACAGTAAATTGCTCTTTCTGTCAAGATACTGAATCCTAATTGCAGCTGAGGGCACTTGTAGCCTCTACAGAGCAAGCCTGTCTGATGAGGGGAACTTCAAAGACCACAGCGATGGGTAGCACTGCTCTTTGAACACTTTTTGGATCCTCACAAGGCTCTGCTGGGATTACAGTGTGATGCTAAATACCAACACCCAACCAGGGAAGCACAGAACCAGCAACTCTGATCAGTCTGTGCAGCAGAGAAGAGCTCACAGGTTCATTATCTGTTATTACCTCATAAACCAAACTGCCTTTTTTTCCACTGCAGTTCCAAATCCCCAAGGTCTATCCCTCCACTACCCCCTCCCTAAGTTACTGCCTACTCTAAAAACTGCAGCATTTCCAACTGTTTGCATTTCCAATTTTTCGCTCTCCCTAAGGATTTACATCCATGCTGGTCTACCTGCTCAGTGCAGCTACTTTACCTACCCCAACTGCCATTGGCACAAACATGCAGCCCCAGAAGGGGTTAATTCGAGATGATCTACTTGTCAACCTTGATCTCTCAAGTTCACAAACTCTCCCAGGCAAGAGAAGCACAAGTCAGGCAGACGGGCAGAGGAAATTCCTCACCTAGAACGAGGTTTCGGATGAGGAGTGGCTCATCTTCGTTATGATACTCCAACATGCCCTGAAAATCTTTCTCCTTCCTCTGGACAGCAACTTGCATGTTACTGTCATGTGGCCTCCTCTCTGCTGGCGACATGGTTTGGGATGCTGCGAGGAGAAAAGAGCACGAATGGTGGGACCTGGAAATCAAGAACTATTCAGGTCCTACAGCGGCCTTAGTGCAGACACCAGGTCAAAGGGTTATATAATAAATTCCCAATAATGTCATCAGCTTTGACAGACCTATAAAAAAAATTATAAACAACCGGGTCTTGAATTACCAGTCATCAGACTCTGAATGAAAGAAGAAGTGCAAAAGCTGAACTTAAGAGAGGAAAAAAATGAAGCTCATTTTTTATTTTCCAAGAGACCACAGGCTATAAGGTAGTAATCCTATGGGAAGCTCTTTAGTGTACGATTTTCACGGGGGGGGAGGGGAAAATAGGCAGGCAATGACAAATCCCTAGGCATCACATCATCTGTCTTGTCTGAAAAGCTGCAGAGCCATGGTGGCACCGCTGAAGTTTAATAAAGCAGAAGAGATCAGCATGCAAATACTGCAGCTAACAGCATGCAAATCACACTGACAGAGACCAGCTGGGTGAGCCATGGAAACCCTCCAGTTATTCAGCTTAATTTCACTTAATGCCTCGTTTCCAGGAATTAGCTCATGAGAATGGGGTCCTCTGATTAATCACAGCTTCTCCAGAGAACGGGAATCTCTTTTCTGCACAACACAGATGTCCCATTTGAGATGTTTTCTCATCAAGCAGAATATAAATACGTATTTTTATTCTTAAAGGGTTGTAATCCTTCCTCAAAACTGACAGATCAGAGCATTTGCCTGATAGCCACTAGTCTCCTCTGTGTAGCTCTGCCTGGATCGCTGCATTGAATGCAATGAAAGCAAAAAGGTCTCTAAACACCCTCCAAACCTCAGTACAAGGTCAGTGTCAGCTCAGTACCTGCTGCTAGTTCAGTGCCAGAATGAGCAGAATCTTACTTTTATAGAAAGAAAGGAAGAGAAAAAAACCCTTGCAGCTCTCCAAGGCTCATCAAAGAAGCAAATCCCAAATACAGTTCCCCCACCCCAATGCCTTCCAACAGCCACGTCACCTTCAAAATCCTGGACCTTCTTCATGTAAATCTTCAGCTGCTTCTTCAGCTTCTTTTCATTCTTTTCCAACTTTTCTACCATTTCTTTTAGATCCTGAAAAACATAAGATGCATTTTTTTATAAAAAACAGCCCCAACATCAAGCCCAAGAACAACTCATCTGGGGTGAGTTTAAGGCTGATCTGGTCTATGAATCACCATGGCGTGGTGTGAGTATCTTGGTAAGTAGAGCTGGGTTATTTCTGCATTGCTCAGAAAGACCCTTACCTCCACCACAAAGACTGTGAATGTTGGGCAGCTGCTTTCTACAGCAAGCAACACTCACCACCCACAGTATTTAATCCTGGCTGTTAATCAGAGTTAAACAGTTTAAGGACCATTTAGATACTAGAGCTTCTGGGACAGGCAAGAAGCCCTCACCTGAACTCAGGAGGCGCCAACATTCCCTCCAGACTTTGCACACAGGTGAGAAAGGGGAAATTTATGATCAGGCAGGCCAGCTTTTTGGAGTGGCAACTGCCCCTCCACACTGCCAGAAGATGCAAGAAAGATGAAAAAGGTTGTCTTTGTGTGGTCTTTGTGTGTAATGACAGAGCAGAGGCATCACCAGTGATACCAACTGGAAGGCAGTGCCACAAAGCAGACAGGCTTTAAAAAAACACTAAAAAAATAAAAAGTACCTATGTAGTCACAAAAGTCATACAGCAATAGAACATCAGCTCGAGGTCAGGCACCAATGTTCCCAAACGCATCAGGGAGATCCTGATGGTTCTGCAGAGAGTTTGGGAGGAGTGGAAGAGATCCCTGTGCCCTGCCCTCCCCATCACGTTTCCCTATCTCCTTTCTCCCAACCTGTTTTTTTCCCCCTTCTTCCTGTGCTTTCTGCACAACCTCTTACCAGGTTTTCATTGGTGAGACGTGTCATTTCTTGCTGAAGCCCCAGCTCCACCTGGGCTTCGGGAGAGAGCTGCAGGCTCTGCAGGGAGGCCTGCTGCTGTTTGTGCAGCTCTTCCTGCACTGCTTCCAACTGGTCCCTCAGAGCTTCCATCTCCTCCTCGTACTTCCTTCTCTGGTCCTGGAGCTGTGCTTCCAGCAGCCTGAGAACAGGACCACACCGATCAGACTGGGATTTCAGCACCATGGTAGTAACCAGCGTTCAGGTTGGTTCAGCCCTTCCAAACTGGCCACTTTGGGATACGTTCCCAGCCAACCTCCCTATAAAACTGACAAACACGAAACTAGGGCTGTTATTGCCACATTAGTCTGTCATTTCCTATAGTGCAGATCAAATATTTTTGAAATTTAAAGACATGACATCAAATGTTGGGTGGGGTTTTGTCTGTTGGTTTGTTTGTTTGTTTGTTTTTTAACGAAAGGGAAAAAATCCAAGAGCTCCCATTTTTTATTTAACTGTGCCACAAGTTTGGGTTCGTCTACTTGCAAAAAGCAAACACACACGGCAAGAAAGCAGCGCAGACCAACACGTGCAGGTTTTGTTTTCAAAAGCCCAGCCTGAAGGACCTTTTTTTCTTGCCCTCATTTCCTGTCAAATACCCTTTCTTACTTCTGAAAACTGAACTGTAGGTCTTGCAAAGGCTTCCATTCAGTTGGAATGCCTTTGGCTTCTGTCACTGCTGCTGGGAATGTTGAGAATCAGGCAGAAGCCCTCATTCTTTCTAGTTGTTTGTAGAGCTGCTATATATCTTTGTTTAAAAAGAAATATACTCACAGGTATTTCAATTTTCATTTACAAACTACCTGCAGAATACCACGCACAAGGCAATTTTCCGTCCCCTCGAAGTGCTCCTGCTTCCATCACTAAGAGTCTTCAAGCAGGGGGACAGACTTGTTTCCTTCTAGCCCAGGACATACAAATACTAACACCACGATTCACAGCTGAGAGGAGTCACCAAAACCACCCCTTCTTCTACTTTTTAGGTGTGCAGTCAACGTTTTCCTCCAACAATTTGTCCTGCCAACCCTTCCTACCCTCCTTTCACTTACTCCTTCCAGGTCACCTTCCAGGCCTGCCCCAAGGCCGTGGCAAAGGGATGCAGAATACAGGGAGTGCCAGAATGCCTTCTTAAATACTACTGAAAAATGATTAATCACTAAGAGGTTAACTAACTGCAGACACCTGTGCTGGTGGGCATGATAACAAACCTGCCAGGTGATATGGTACTTGATTCTTTAGGGGTGTCCCCACCCTCTGCTAAATAGAAATCTCCTCTTAGTCCACCAGCTTTTTCAGAAGACTAAAATAAGTGACTCCAAAAGGCATGAGGACTGTGAGGAAGGGCCATCAAGCCAGGAACTGCAAAGTTAGTTAGTCCCAGGTTACAGAGGGCGATGGTGGCAAAGAGGAAGAATGACCCGAGGAGATAACCAAGCCCAGGTGCCTGCTGTAGCTCAAGGATGTCATCTCCTAGGCAGAGCTATGGATCACCACACACCGACGTCACAGGCTTCTCTTCTGGGATCAGATGCAAACAGCAGTCCCCAAAGATGAGGAAGACTGTAGTGTCAATAGTTTTGCATTTACCCAGGACATGCACAGACACAGAGCTGGGCCAGGGGGCCAAAAGTTACAGCTCTTTCACCTGTGAACTGTTTCCCTGCAGGAACAATTATGCATGGTTTTTTTTTTTTTGTTGTTGTTTTGTGGTTTTTCTTTCATAGCTTCTATTAAAAAAAAACATGCTTTCTAGGAAAAATTTCTGTGTGAAAAGTATTAATAATTCCTCATGGTGCTTTTCTGTTGTTGTTGTTAATGTCTTTAGAAGATTAAGTAACACAATCTCTACTCCCATTTTGCAGCAAAGGACAGAAAAGCATATTTTCCTCCTATAGAAACACGGGTAATAATGCACTCAGCCTCATAATCCTGTCAGGAGTTATATTCTTAATAGGCTTGAAAAATACAGACCCACCATGAAATGTCTACTTAATTTCCATTTTATTTCTTCATACTGGGATTCGTTTGGATTCAGTTTGGATGAACTGTGAGACACCCTCAGAAGAACACACTCCTTCTTATGAACTTTGGGTTCCTACATTGCTTGGAAAAACACACTTATCACCCCTGTCATTTTTTTCCTGTTGTTGTTTGGTTTCACCCTGGTAACTCTAGACGTGAACACTTCAGACTACTTTAGACAAAATATTTAAATTTTCCATCTCTATAAATATTTTATAAAGACATTGGAGCCCCGTAACCACCGAAGACCAGGTGGGAAGAGGATAAGAATTCAGGAGTCCCCCAGTGTGTCCCTGTGGGGGAGAGCTGATGGAAGAATGGCACTGTGTACCCACCACGTGCCTTCCTGCTTACACCTGAGGGCAAGGCATGGATGGGAGCACACAGCCCCCAGGAGCATGCAAAGGTGGCAGCATTGGGATACAAGCACAGGGACTCTGCTTCTGACAAGTCAAGGACTGGGAAAGAACTCTTTAGGGAGGTGCTGTATCTTAGTGCAATTTCATTTAAAAAAAATAAAACTAAGATGGGAGGGGTTTATTGGTGTCTTGGAGGTCAAAGCTTCCTAACACCTTTATCACCCAATTTCCCGTTAATGTAACATAATCCTTAAGGAATCACAGCTCAGGTATTGGTGGCAACAGCCACCATCAGCAGTGCCCAGCCAGAATCACAACAATTCCTCCGAAAATTAGAGAAGGGTCTCGATTCCCCTGGTTTGGAAAACCTAACTCCAGCTGCTCCCAGAGAGGACAACAGGTCCTGCAGAGGACCACAGGGTAAGAGCAGAGCAGGAGAAAGAAACAAAAGGGTGGCAAAAGGGAGGAGAAGGGAGAAGCAGCAGTGAGGAAAAAAAAAAAGAAAGCGTTTGACCTGGCAACTTGCTTTAAACCTTGATAAGCCAAGCCGAGCTCTCCGTCTTCATTGAGATACCCCCAGTCCTCAGTCTTGCTAGAAATAAAGGACAGAAGAAGGAAACAAGAGGACAGAAGAAAGACAAAAGGTCAATTGCAAGAGAAGGGGAAAAGGTGCAGCAGAACCCTTATTAATTTTATTTAATACTATTTTATAGAACACACCTTTATTACATTGTATTTCTTTTTCCACGGCAGTGAAGGAGAACCACGCCCTGGTTGTGTCCTGTAAAACATTCCTTGCTGGTGGAGCTTCTCCTCCCTGCCCAGCTGTGGCAAGTGACCTCATGTTGCCCATTCCTCCCCAGCCCACTGCAGGCAACAGGAACCCAAAATCCTTCAGGTCAGAAAGAAATCTTCACAGATCATCCTGTCCAAACCTCCTGGCAGGTTATTATAATTCCTAATATGGATTTTTTTATGGTTATTGTAATTCCCAATATGGAATTTTTATGGTCACCGTAATTCCTAATATGGAATTTTTAAGACAAGTTTTTCCTTTTCCTTCTTTCTGCAGCAACTCACACTGTTTAAAATAAATCATCTTCCTTCCATTTCAGTTGAGGGTTTTCTCAAATCCTGAGTCAAACATGTCAGTCTTTCCTCAGAGCAATCCTTGGTCCAAACAACACTTATGTCCCTACAAGATCAAATCTCCTCTGTATCCATCCAGGCAGAAAAATGCCCAGAAAACTCTCATCTCACTTTGATACTAGAAGTCTACATTTACCAGCCTGTTTTTTGTTGTTTTGGGGTTTTTTTTTTTCCAAGTTATATGAGGCAAGAAACTTACTTATCTCCTTTAATGAGGTCTTGAGCACATTACAAACGAGTGATGTAAGCTGCTCAACTTGACCAGAAACACTTGTTATAACAAGTTTTTTTTACTTAGCTTCGATGTCAGTTAGAAAACAGTTTTTCTTTTTGGAAATAACAATTTCAAAAGTAAATAAAGCAACCACCAAACTTAATATATCATTATGTTTCAGACATACAAACACACACACACACAAAAAATACACAGCCAATGCGCATCTCCTGTTTTGGAAAGGGCTGTTAGCAGAAGCCATTCCCTGGCAAGGAAATCTCTGCATATTTCAGGGGAAATGCACAATACACAAACTTTCTACAGCAAGTTTTCACAGGGGGGGAAAAGCAGCGAGAAATGTGGTGTTGCAGCACTGCCACGAAAGGACTCGGGAGGTGTCTCACTGCCACAGGCAGCCTGTGCGTCCCTTCCGTGCTGGTGGTACAGCATTTCTCCAAAACCAGCAAACGTTTCAGGCACTGACATTTGGAAAGTTCATCTGTTAAAGCCACATGTATGAATTTAAATTAAAACCTTGGTGATACCCCCATACACAGCAGGTTTCCAAAAGTGTCTGCGGGCTGACAGAAACAAGGAGGTTTATTGGTCTGATTTGCATTAATTTCTTAGTAAAATCTTTTTTTGTTTGTTTGTTTGTGTGTTTTTTTTGTTTGGGGTTTTTTTTGTTTTGTTTTGTTTGGTTTGGTTTGGTTTTTGTTTTGGTTTGGTTTGGTTTTTTTTGTTCATACAACCTTAACAGGACATATCCTAAGATACTCAAAACCAAGGAAAAAAGAAGGAAGGATCGTCACTCTTTACTGCATGTCAGAAACTTGTGAAATCTCACACAGTGAGCAGCATTTTTAAGAGATGCATTTTCCTGGATAACCTCCTTTGAAAAATAGCTTTCCTTCTTTTTTTTTTTTTTAAACAGAGGCATTGTGGTAAATGAGGAGAGCAGCTCAAGGAGGAGCCATTATAAAATAAATATATACAAGTGCCGATATAAGATAAACCTGCCCTGGGAAATAAGCATTTAGTTCATCTCCATCAACACAGCACTGACTCAGAAATCACTGAGCTCCTCTTTCTGCCAGAAGTTCATATTGACCAAGACATTAAACATCAAACAGAGGCCCTTTCAAGCTAATTAGATTAATTAGCATGTGACAACATAATTTCCTAAAATGCTGGCTAAATCC